ATGGATCTTAATGAAACCCTTAAACGCCATCCGGCTAACTTAGCTGCGTCCATAGACACCAAGATCGTTGGAATCCGTGCCGCCGTTTGCTCTGAATTCCATTCTAAATCGAATCAATTTTCAGATTAAGGGAGTTGCCTGTGACTAAGAGTGTCGGCCACCCGTTTGTTATCGGGACTTTAGTAGGACGTCATTTTCCTCGACCGGGGGTGGCTACCGCCACTCTTGATGCCTACGGTCATAAATGCATTTTTTACTCATCATAACGTAAGAAGAAGTAAATTATTGATTATTTTATTATCCTGAGACATTATCTGAAGTCTTCGAGGGTTTAAAATCAGGTAGACCTACATTTAGAATTATGAAAATTTTGGGTCAAACATATGTATTTTATGTTTTCAATGCTAGAAACACTCTCTAATACTTTCAAGCTCATCGGGTCAAAATTTCAAATTATAATTTTCATCAGCCTTGAACGTTACAAATTTTTCGATAGCACAATTTTTAAAGTAACAGTGATACCGGTGAATTTACTGTGCTCTATCTTTGAAATGCTTGCGAAGGTTCAATTTCTGAACTTTGCTTCGGATGGCAGAATAATAACGCTTCTAAACTATGGTATAGTCACTTCTTTCTTAATTTGTTGCATCTCATTATTGTATAATTCATTGTTTCTCTACCCAAATGGGTATAAATGTCCATTATCAATTTTTCTTGAGTCTATCACTTATGTATATCGTAGGCAGACATTTTATGAAATGCTTAGACAGGTAGTCGACTTCTGACTGTGCAAGAAATTTTTTTCAGGCATTTTACAAAGAACTGTCGAATTTTAAATATGTTGAAAGTAAGAATCCGTGAAATGTATAATCTTTATGTCTGTATTCTATTTTCCGAATACTTATCATAAATTGAAAGTGTTCAAAATTTGAAAACTGTGTATTTTATGACATGCTGCATTTCGAGATAAGTGTTGGTCCAAGGGCTAGCAATTTTTAAGTATATCTTATGATGAACATTTTTATCGTGAATACTTTCCGGTGGAAACAGAGAATTATTGCATCTGAAACTACGAACATCACCAGCATTTCAATTCAAGTAAGATTATTTGACTACCTATCCATCGAGTCATTTGACAATTACCATGCGAGGTATAGATCAAGATTTTTTCCATCATCCCGCTCCTTTTCTGCCGTCCACAGGAAAAACGCCGTAACTATTATAAAGATTTTGCATTTTTCTTGCACACATACTATTCTATTGCGAGAAAACCTGATCACTATGATGTTCCATTTTATGAATTTGATGTATTTGTAAATGGTATGCCGCACTCATCATAGAATTAAGAATTAATTTACTGAAGGAAGGATTGGAATTAATTTAGATGTTGGTTTTTCGGTAATGAAACATTTCGTCGGTAAAAAGCTGAACAAATCTATACTGGAATTACGACGTTTTTGCTAAGGACGGCAGATTCATCCTCGGAAACACTCCAAAAGCGCTGAAAATGTCCAAAAGCGCAAAATTGTAGTAAAGCGTTGTCAAAAAGCATGTGTAAGTTTCGTTATATATAGGTTTTCATTCACTGACGTGTTTACACTTTTGGAGTGAGTCTTGACACACTTTCTTTGCGCTTTTGGGCTATGCTGCCTTGCTAAGGAAGAACGCCGTATGAGTATTTGAGAGTTGCCATATTTCCCTTGATTAAATATGTATTTTTGACGACATTAATGCATATTTCTCCTTGAAATTTTCAAGTATTTCAGATTAAATTGCGTATAAAATTGCCTGAGCATTTGGGAAAAAAAATAGTCAAAATTTTACCAGTGAATTCGATTTTTAGTGAGGGAAATCTTAGGAAATCAGCGTCTAAAGGCTCATACGGCGTTTTTCCTTGGCACGGCAGTATGTATCTCTCACTTTTGAGGTTTGCACTTTTGTGAGGCGTCCTTATCCTCTATCCGAGCCCAATGATTTTTTCCTATTCGGCAAAAAAAAATCCGGGCAGCAATTCAAAATTCGACCAACCACGGAGTAAAAGAGATCAAAAGTGATGATTTGTAAAGATCCCCGCCGACACGAACTCAAACGCGACGAGACATCTGTTGAAAGGGCGAAAATCAGAGCCGATAAATCGGATAAAGGATACATTCCTGATCCGAAAGGCCGAAAAGCGGCGGCGGCGGAGCTTTTGTCGAAAATCCCGATCCGACGGGCGGAGGCCTTTGAATCACCCCGACCGGCGCGCCGCCGATAATAATTGCGAGCATTATCCGCGCGGGCCGCCGACAAATATAATTCAATAAAAAGTAAAAATAATAATATTATCATGCATGGCAAAATAAAAACACATGGAAAAATGATCCATCATGCGGGAGAGCACGGCCTTATGACATGTGAATAGATACGCTACATGGCCTCTGATTGGCCGAAACCTCCCACCGGCCGGGAGTCCCTCCCCTCGGCGGGAGCTCGAGCTCGCGCGCCCGTCAGCCAAACAACGTCTGCCATCGCGACGCGCAGCTCCGTTGGATTAACGCTTTTTTCCCGCCCGGTTTCTTTCGCCGTCCGAAACGTTCGAATTTTGCCCGCGATTTTTCCGGTTCCGACCTCGGTTTTTCCGGTTCTGACCCCCGGTTTTTCCGGTTCCGACCCCCGGGTTTCCTTCATTTCCCGAATTTCCAGTGTGCTTTTTTTCGACACCGCGACTTGATTTTCGTTAAAAAAACGTGTAAACAAAATTAATTTTTTTTGGCAGTTACGTTACGTTAGTGTGGACGTTACGGGCAGTGCATTACGTTACTGTTGGTAGAAAATATTTACCGACGTTTTAAGGCGGAGTAAATGAACGATCGAAGTATGTGAACGTGGCACAAAGTGCTATTGCGTGAAAACGCATATGGGTGTGCAAAAAACGATTTTAAGTAGAAAAAAGTGTTTCCTACAACGTTATGAAGTGTTTTCCAGTGTTTTTTGATATTTTGAAAAATGCCGCCCCGTTTTACTTTATACTGCCGTGTTTTTTGGTTTGAGCGGATTCAGTTACCAATCGCGAGAGATCTTCCCTTTTAACCTATTATACAGCTGTCCGCGCGTCTAAATAAAAATAAAAAAGCGTGTCTATTCTTGTGTACGTAGGGATGATTTTGAAGTTGTTTGGGCAAAGTCAGCAGTTCTTAATTTTCATAATATAACGAAGTGCTTCGAAATCTTTGGAAATCTTTTGGTGTCGAAAATTTAACAGCTGCTACGATAATAGTTACAACTTTTAAAATCTATTTTCAGTGAATCAGAAAATATAAGCTGACGTATCGGGGCAGTGCATCACAACAAACATACGAGGAAATTTCCGACGTATTGAGGCCTAAAATATAAAAAAGTGAACAACTGCAAGCTTATCCCGAAGTTCTTTGTGCGAGAAAAAAGAACACCTTATCGCATTCATCTCCCGACTTTTGAACGAAATGTCATTTTACAAATTGCTGGTGCTGTGTAAGAGCTCAAATAGGAGGAAAAAGATTTCCACCTGGGTTGGAAAAGTGAGCGCAGGCCGAAAAGCCAACGCTAAAAATTTGAAAGACACACCCCACGCCTTTCATTTTTCAGCTGGATTATAGGAGTTTTTCCACTTTTTATCTGGCAGTCTAAGACAGTGTCCACCAAACTGTACGTGTTTGTTTGGTGTAAAATTGGCGTTGTGCAAATATTTTGAACCAGAAGCGGTCAGATACCAACAAAAAAATCAATTTTTGTCACAGAGAAACCACTGACCGTTTGATCAGGAGTTACCGAGGCTCTGAGTATAACATTAAGTCGTTCGCAAGAAGCTAACATTGAATCATCCTTGGGTTCTTCTCACGACCCGACGTTCTTTCCAACGGCACACATTGACGTGAAACTTTATATTCTTCTTGCGACGAAGTGAATACCCGATCGGCTGTGGAAGATGATGACGATGAACATTGGGATGTACAACAGCGGACTGTATTCGACGTCGAGCCTGAACCAGGACATGACGAACTACGGCATGAACTACGACGGCTCCCTCAACTTCGTCCACCATTTCGACCAGCAACCCGCCTCCTACGGCGACCAGAAGTACTACGAGACCCCCCAGCATCGCGGGGTCCACCAGTACTCCCAGCAATACTTCAACCAAAGAGAGACCGACCTGAACCTCCCCTACGTCCCGGAACCAGAAACGAACAACCGCAAATACGAAGTCAACAGCCCGGACACCTCCAGCCAGTACTACAACCAGGACCAAATCAGTCGGGTTCCTGACAGTGTGATCACGTCATCCAACGGTTTAAGCTACACGAACCTGGACTACGGGACCAGTGGCTATGGTCAGCCAGGGCAGTATAAATACCTACCCCATCCGATTGGTGGCTCTTTCAAAACCGACGATGACCATCATTACCAGGATGGGTTCCTGACCGAGGGGTCGTCGGAGAACCATCTATCCAGGAGTCATCACTATGATGATAGTCTATCCTCGTCCGACTATCATCACCACCACCATCACCATCACCACTCGAGTTTCCAGGGGTTGATTCCGACGTTAGATGCTAGTCAAGCTTACGCCCACCAGCACTTCCACGGGCAGCCGTTCCAGAATATCAAGGAGGAGGCGGGTGCTCGGGAGACGGGGGTGGCTGAGGATGGGGTGGCGGGGCTGCCCCACCAGCAGGCCGCCCTCCAGCACTCCCAGATGATGGGGGATTATTCCCATCTCCACCACCACCCACCGTGTTCCCAGGAGACCGTTGGGGCCGGGAACCCACCTACGACGACGGCCATCACGACTTACAAGTGGATGCAAGTCAAGAGGAATATCCCCAAACCGGCCGGTGAGTTCACGATCGTCTTTTAGTCATTTAGTTTTCTGCCGAACGATAACAGCAGGCTGATTGTTGAAATTGATAGACAAAACTATAGACAAAGATGACAAAAGGATATGGAGGAGTCCTATTGACCTTGTTGAAGCGGGTGGTTTTGATGGACAAAAGCGGTAGGTAATAGACTATAACTGGGCATATGTCTGTCAAACGGAACTATGTGCATTATGACGTGAGCCCTTTTATGCATGTATTATTATGGGTCTCAGGGCCCATGTCTTAATGCACATAGTTCCGTTTGATAGAAATACGTCTAACTGACGGCAACCCATGAGAGACTCAATAGGAAGTCCATAATTTTCTCCCTCAGTCTATAAGAATCACCCATTTCAACCAATAAGATCGCTCCATACGCCCTGTGTCATCTATGTCTATTGCTTTGTCTATCAATATCGACAAGCAGCTCGCAGTTATATGAGGCACCTCTCCGTGGGATGATTATTAAAATTGATTTACAAAGAGATAGACAAATATGACGAAAGGAAAATGGAGCGATTCTGTTCGTTGAAAAGGGTGGTGGTTGCAGACTACGGTGCAAATTTAATGATGGACCAACACTTTATTGGAATTATACTTCATTTTGTCCATTGCAACCATCGCTCTCACAAAAAGGACCCCTCTATTTTCTCTTCGCCTTCTTTGTCTATAGCTTTGTCTATAAATTGCAATAATCAGCCCGCACATTACGTCACTCCTCTGGCGTAAGGGCGTATCTCGATTTCCGCATGAGCCCCAGGAAGCATGGATTTATATGTAAAACAAGGCTTAAGTGGAAATTGAGATACGCTCTTACGTCAGAGGGCCGACGATTAGAGGGACAAAGAAGAAATAAAGAAAGAGCCGTAGTCGTTTCTTGCTTCTCCTTCATGGCTCCATATGTTCACATTGGGATTGAAAGGACCATCAAGGCAACCCTTAACACAACACATTACTCCGTTGCCCAAATCCGGCCAAAACGCTTCGTCTTTCTGGCGTTATATGCATGCGTTACTTCTTACCCTTATGATTTCAAATGGCATGGTGAAGTTTATTTCGAAATTCCTCGTCACACTCATTATTTTCTATTTGAAATATTTTGAGGAGAAATGAAAGGCACATGACTATAGTTTATTCCTTGCTAACGGCTGACTGCACTGTATGCAAATCGTTACATGAGGCCTGTTACGTAATTTCATGCACTATTGAGTACTTTTAAAGTTATCTTAGCGAGAATGTTCAAAAATTCCCAAAAAAAGTCAGCATTAATACAGCCTGGCTCAGTTTTGTTGAAAAGAACATAAATCGTTCAGAGATTATTTTAAATTTGTATCATTCCGTTTAAATTTTGTCAGAAAAATTGTACGTGAAACAATTTTTTTTCGCAATTATCCTCAAAACTTATATACTTAATCATCTAAAAATGCGTAGAGGATGTTGCATCTCAAATCCACTAAGAAGAGGAGGACGTAAACATAACCATACTTTAAATCGATGAGAGAGTATTATTTTGTAGGTATACTCAAACAATTATGGATATTATAAGATTCAAAGGCGCTTATGAAGGCCCGTTGAAGTGCATATCAAAACGGGCCTTATTAATATAGCACAACCGTTGTTTTAAATCAGCTGCATGATGTCAATTTGCGTGTTAACAGTGAGTTAAAATTCAATTCATTTACCGTGCGCTAAATGTCTTTCTTAAGAGATGAAGGATAGATTACAGCACAAAATGAGACGCCTAATGACAAAGTTATGAGCGACAAAGTCTTACTAAGTATCCTTTTCAAATTACCCAACACCCTGCTGGGAAGCGAAAATCTTTCGGGGATAGAGGTTTATTAATTTCAGCCGTGATTAAGTTAATCACTTAATTACTCTAATCTGTTGTAAGGGTTGACGGCGTGTCAACATGTTGATTCCGGGTGAACACCATTCAAGTTGCTGCTAATAGTAATTAAAAAGGAAAGATAATACGGTCCTTAAGCACCTTCGATCCAAGACTCTTTGGTGGTTTTAGATCTAATAAAACATTTAAAACCTTGTAAAGCCTTCACTATTGGTGAGACTGTCCGGCGAAATTTTCTACGGAGCAACCAATATATTCGGACGACAAACCATGCTGTCAAAAGATAAGTATTGTTTCACACAAGATGATTTGAAGTATACTTTTCAAAATAAAGGCGCAATGGAAAACAACAAGCGCGTAAAATTAAAAGTCAAATGCAGCTGTAATACATAATATCATATAAGGAAACAAATTTGTTTCAAAAAGAACGTATCATTTTAAGCTTTAATAGACAATTTTAAAAAAAAAGGAAATCTATTTTTAAGCAACATTAAAAAACAATATGGGCATTTCCAGTTCCGAATAACCTCTTTTAAACGTAGAAAAAATTGCATTTTTGGCCCTAGAGATAAAATTGAAAAACTTTTAAACCTCGTTCTAAAAATCCATTTCTTAAAACAATTTTAATCCATGAGAAACACTTTCAATGATTATTCTGATGAACATTTCACGGATGATAGCATAAGATGTTTTAAAATTATGGAAAACTGACTCTAAAACTTGAAATATCTTTTGATGACTTATAAAGATTTAAAAGTGACTTTAAAAGTTTTAAAAACGCATAAAAGTCATGATAACTTAGCTCTTTAAACACTTTACAGTCATATTTAAGATGTTTTAAGTTTTTCCCCGTTTGAAAAATAACAGCCATTTAAACATTTTAAAACATCGTCAGCTTCTGGCCAAAGTATCACTAGCGACACGCGACGTTTAAAAATTTCCACCGCCATTTTATTTTTTTACCAATAAATTGTTCAACGAAGCTGTCCAAAAATGTCACTGAATTTTCTTTGTGCTGCCGATAAATTTCAGTGGAACTTTCAAACAGATCCAACCAACAATTGCTCTGTAAAAAAATTAAATGCCGGCGGAAATTTTGAAACGTCGCATGGTGCTTGTGATACTTGGGCCAGAGAATGACGATATTGTGTATGTGTATGTTAGTCAGAGATATTACAGAGACATTTTTTAAGCCCCAATGTGCTCTTTTACCAAAACATTCGATTACCTCTAGCGACAACTGTGATTTTCAGTGAAAACCAAAGTGCGATACCTTCGATAGAAGTTTTGCCCTCCGAGCAGGGACCAAAACCCCTCTTGTCATGAGCGGTCATGAGTATGAATCAATCTTCAATAATGTGAACTATTTTCAATAATATGAACCAATATTCAATAATATGAGCCAATTTTCAATAATATGAACCCGACCACAATATAAACACGAGTCGTTTTCAACTCGGTTACAGCGCGTGGTTGGTTTCTAATCCATCCCTTCGCACGAGCAGGAGCCAGGTCCCAATTTATCAAGGTGTCGTGATGCGATAGGGTCGAGCACCTACAAGGAATGGAACAAGGAAAACCGGAGGGAAGAAGAGAAAAATTGTCAAAAATTTAAATGAACTGAATAATAGAGCCGGGGCTTGGGAAATTTGAATATCACTGCCGGGAATAATGAGAATGACTCCGCGTTGCGTGATCGGGAGGTTGTTCCATTAACCCCTTTCGCATTGCACTATCAGATTGATAAAAATTCTTGCCGGACCCCGCCGCGAGGGGTGAGTGATTTTATGCCCCGATTATGCATGCGTGTGTGCCCCGCCGTTGCCAAAATGCCACGGAAAAAGTGAAATTGCTGAACGAACAATTTTGTGGTTGAAAAAAGTGACAGACATGTTTCAATGTAGATTTTACAATGAAAAAAGGCTAATTTAACTACCCTTATTGTTTGTACATTCGAGACATTTTTTTTTTTTTTTTTTTTTTTTTTTTTTTTTTTTTTTTTTTTTTTTTTTTTTTTTTTTTTTTTTTTTTTTTTTTTNTACATAAGATAAGTATATAACATAAGATAAGTATTGTTAAAGATATTTAGGCATATAAATAACAACTTAATTACTTGATATACGATAAAAGGACGGCAAATATCAAGGATATATCCATCGCCCAGGGCATTCGAGACATGTCGGACATATTTTTTGAAAATGGAATTGTCAAATCAGCTAATCAGTTGTTTGCTGTTGTCATTTTTTTCCCGGTGTGCGGTGTGTGCCTTTTGATCGTCTCCTCGCTTTAATTTATCATGATTGGATCGGGTTAATCAGAGAGGAACAACCCCTAATTTTCGAAAAAATTGAGTTAAGAATGTTTCGAGTTCCATTAGTTGTACATTTTTCCTACCATAATCTAAAAGTCAAAAAAGGGAAACTAGTAAGTGAGAAGGGGTCAAAATGTATTTCTATATTTAGATGAATTTAGTTGGTTCCTTCCTAATTAACTCGGTCTAATTATAAGTGATAGATGAGTTACAACTAGAATAACGCAATTACTCGTATTATTTGTTTCAATTTTTTTTAAATATTGTCAATTTCTCTGTAGAAAACAAACTATCGTATGATTCTCTTATTTTAATTCTTCACGTTCTTTTCACTATATAGAGTTGAAGCCCTGTTTGTTTAGATGTTACCATACCGAGCACATATAAAAAGTATGGAATGGAGAAAATCTATAAAAAATGGTTTTTATCCTAAAGGGATCCGTCAAAAATTAAAACATAAAAAATATGCATCTATGTTCACATTCAACAAAAATTCATTCATGTAATTATGTACAGCAAAAAAAAAAAAAAAAAAAAAAAAGGTTAAAATTTGTAGGTACTGCTTAGCGAAACGGTGTACCGTCAGAAAAGAAAATTACACTTAAGGATTTGCAACACGTTGTTGTTGTTCTGCAGCTCATTGCTTTTTGACCGAAACTTGAGGCTAAATTCTAAACATGTGGTTCAGCTGGGCACAATTAACGAGGTATGAATATTTTATCGAACGATATTTCAGCCCGGAGCATTGCCACTTTTTTACGTGAAAAATAACCTTAAAATTAAGAGAAATAGCCAATCAGAAAGCTTCCAGGATAG